AACCTGCAAAATTGGAGAATTGTATTCTATTTAGTCAGAACGATGATGTGGTGAGACTGATGCCTGCCGGATGTCAATCTCCTTGGACAGGGAGTGTTCAGGCAGTCCCTGCTGAGGGAGTATGACCTGAGAATTTGGGGAATACTGTGCAAAATTAAGAAATGGAGCTATAATACCCATTCTAACTTTCACGTTGAGAATTATTGCTGTCTAGTTTCCCTTCACCTGTGGGAGAATAGAAAATTTCATGTAAATGAGGTGAACGGCCTCTTGCTGCTAACTAGGGAGATTCTGTTCTCACTGTTCAATCTTTGGATGAAAAATCAGACTTATTCTTTCCCTGACCTTGAGATTCTCATTTTTCCAGTTTTGTCATATTTTCAAAACTGACTCGGCATTGTGTTGTTTGAGGCTAGGAAAATTCAGCCTGCAGGATTAAAAAAATAAGCATTTTAACTACAATAATTTATTCAACATTGACACTACATATTTTAATATCATTTATCTTAGAACTTGGATTTTGACTAGTGGCATATGAGTTTTATTCTGTGGGTATGAGGTGCTTTAATGATTAACTTAACAGTATTTCTGAAGCTGTGATTTTTATTAAACCAGTATGGGAGAGAGGGAGTCCCTGGGTGATAATTAGAATTTGTTTACATTATGAGATTTTTACAAGAAGACACAGTAAATGTGGAAGAGCCTTAGCTTACTTCCAGTAAAGTGAATCAGGAATTAATATTAAATAAAAACTGGAAGAACTGTGGATGCTGGAAATCAGAAACAATAATGGAAAAGCTCAGCAGGTCTGACAGCATCTGTGGAGAGAAATCAAGTTAACATTTCAGGTCCAGTGACCCTTCTGCAGAACCCTCAGGAATTAATTTTGCTTAGGATATTAACCTATAGCTTGTATATCTGTTGTTTGTAGTTTACAGAAGTCCTGGTTGAAATTGGACATACGAAAGTTTCTCCTCAAGAAAAGGAGTGAGTTCAGAAAATTTAGGGACTAGATCACCTCAGCATCAGGCTTTTAGTTGAAATCTCTGGACCAAAAGTGTTTTGTTAGAACCCTCAAAGGAGTTATTCAAAGCTGAAAAAGTCTAAGCTCTGTTGCATAAATAATCGAGGAAGCATCTAATAAACTCTCAAGAAAGCAGCTATCCAACTCTCGAAACTGTTTCTTTCCATTTCCAGTCAAGTTAAACTTATAGCTGTGAAAGAAAAAGGAATTCTCACTGGTGCTTGAGTGCTGGGAAATGTAGAATGGGATTGCATTTTGCCCTGTTTCAAAATCTTTTAAATTGCGTTATACATAAATAGCTTGATAATTCTATTTTGTTATCCTTTCTTTTGTAAATTTCTATTTTATTGTTGAAAGCAAATCTGCAGCATTGTGTGCTCATGTGTTAGTGAAAGACCACTTCATTAAATAAAAACAAAATATGATCTATCAAGCGTAAGATTTCAGTCTGGGATCTGACTTGACCAGTAATAACATCAGTTGGGATCATAACAAAGCACACAATAAGTGGTCAGCGAGGAGAGAAGTTAAACAAGATCCGAGTTAGCTTACTGGATAATAGAAACCTAGTCATTGGAAGCTAATTCATGGAAGAGCTGATTGGAAAAGAAGACTTCCGATCAAACTAAAGCAAATAAAGTGCAATTCCTTAACACAGAATGATCCAGTTAGCAGTCATAATGATGAGCATTAATGGTAAGCATTGGTCATGATTACTTCACTGAAACTGACAGGAATTTTAGAAGTCAGTACATTAACAGCAACTTAACTTCCAAGTTGGCTAATAGCTCTACTGTATCCATACTTCTCCAGAGGGTGTTGAGGGCCTGTTTGGATACAATTCCAAAGCGATCAGTAAAGTGACAAAATCCTCCACTTTTATGCCGTTAGTCTGCCTGTAGGATTTGTGCTAGGAAGAGAAATCATTGTTGAATGAGGTGTGGCCAGGTTTTTAAAACTTGATCGTTGTTGCTAAACCCTTCACTGGTCCTGAAAAGATTATGTTGTATTTGTGGAATGTAAGAAACTTTTTCACGATAAAGTAAGTGCATTTAAAATAATATTTGCTTTTAAAATTCAAGTTAAAACACATCATAAAATGCTTTAAGTACTCAAATCATTTATTCGATCAGAAAAATGAAAATTGAAAGGGTTCAGCATATTTAACTCTCCAGTTTGCTGTAAGAATATTTTAATACTTTTGGCTACTTACCTTCCTTGCTGATATCACAGATCCTTAGCTCTTCTAGCTTGGAAACAAATTTAAACCATTGTAAGGAAAGGGTGAAATCTGCACAAGGATAACAATTTTAACCAGTAGAGTTTCTTTCATAGAGGTCAGCAGCATTATTGCCTCACTGCCAAACATAAAATCCAAGTGATGGAGTACATAGTATTTACTGGGAATTAAAACAGCCTGGACAAAATTGGAGAATAATGCAGTGGGTGAAAACATTACTAACCTGCAAGCCAGGAATCCAGTGTTAGGTTTAAAATTTTTCCTTGGGCAATACATTATGTTGAGAGTTGGGGCAAGGCATGAGGCAGAAGGCAAAGGAACAGAAAAGGTTACAATAAAATATTCCCAAGAGGGAAAGTAGTTGTGTCTCTGAGCCAGGAGGCTTGGGTTCAAGTCTTACCTGGTTCAGGGATGTGTGATAACATTCCTGACAGGTTGATTAAAAATACCTAAAATTGCCAAAGAGTATTGTAGGTAAGTGAAAACTTTTACATTCTACACTTCATTTTCTTGCAACTAGAGATGTTACGGCAAGGGGTTAGTAAGTATCTGTAGACAGAACAGGAAAGTAAACCTTTTCAGGTGCCAAGCATTTTTTAAAGCTCAAAAAGAGGCAAACTGGTATTACTACAATCAGGAAGACAGTAAAAATACTCGAGCATCTGTCCTTCTAAACTGTTCAAACTGAAGCTTATCTCAGTTCATTTTTTTTTTTGCAAAGCACCCTGTAAATACTTATCTAAGATGACCTCAGATGTACCCAATTTACAGGGATGTTTCTACAATTAATTTTAAAGTTTCATTGTATTTTCCCAGGACTCTTACCTCCTTGGCTATTTACACTTTTCTCAATTATTTCAATGTTTCTTCCCTTAACTACCACAATTCTACTCACAGTGCCTGTTATTTTTCTGTTTGACCATAACGGTTCAACACTTTTTAAATTTAACCTATTTTTATAAATCAATCTGTTCAGAGATATTATTACACACCTCTGGAGGTGGGACTTGAAACCTCACCACCTGGTCCAGCTATAAGGACACTACCACTGCACAAGGGGGCCCAACTGTTCAACACCTCCAGTCATGAGAAGTCCATACTCAAAACTTCAGCTTTTCAAATCTCTTCGTACATGCTGTCTTGTCTGCCCAGTATTTCCAACATTTTCTTTCAGATTACCAGCATGTGCAACTTTTGTTCCTTAATTGTTATCACAAGAACTCAAACTAGGTTTACCCTGATCAACGAAAGCTGCCCGGTCAATACTTTGGGTCACACTTTTACAACCAAGGCAGGTAGCAAGTCAGGAAACCTCTTGACTCAGGTTTCCATTGGTCCTGACTCAGACTAACCAAAGGCCCAGAATGCTGTGACAGTTGCTATGGTGGACAGGGTGAGAAAATGGAAAGGCAAGCGAGGCATGGAATTGGGCCTGCCAATCCCAAAAGAACAGAATCAAAGCGTAACAGCCACAGTTCAGGTAAGCAACAATGACAGCTGGTTAGAAGGTCTGCCTCAGTGACTTTGCCACAATTATGTGTTATTAAATTTTAGGCCCTCTAGCTCCGACACCCTCTAATCCCACATGACTCCTTATCCACTCCATGCCAACTCATGCCTCCTAACCCCTATGGCCACTTATACCCTTCAGACCAATTCATCCTGGACCCACCATGGTTGGGCTTCAAGTGCTGAATTAAAAGTCAGAACTGTTGTGAGCCTATAAGTTTGGAATGAGGCAGAAATGCAGGTATCCAAACAAGCCCAAGTGCTAAGAAAGCAAGCAAAAAGCTCCTGAATTAGACCCTGCTCAAATAGACTAAGTGCCTGTCACTGTACGCAAAGCAGCCTGGCAGCAGCATTGCAATGAAAAGGGTCAGTGTATTTCAAAGTGCACCATTAAAGTGGCTAAATGTATTCTGACTGGAGATGTTCCATGATGAGGCTGCTGCGTGTCTGATGCCAACCTCTGTGGATGGAGTATGCAGCCAACCCTACGCATGGAACATAGCCTAGGATATTGGAGACTGCTGGCCCAGATTGAGACCAAGAGAAGCAAGTAGCAAGATGGACCTGTTAGGTGCATGCTGACTGACTGGCGTCTGTTTGAACTCAGCACTGTTTGAACTGGCCATTCGTAATTTGTGTTTCACTCTTTATTAATGATAAAAAATGGACTTGTTGAAAATGGGGTGGGATTTCCACTGCCTGGTCATGACCCCAACTTAAAGATCTGTGAAGTCTTTCCAGTTGAGGGCAGGGAAATCAAACACAAAGTCAGTTAAAATTCCTTGTGAGGACTGGCTGTTGGGTTGAAGGCAGCACAATCTGATCTACACAGATTTGGACTCAGGAGCTGAGCTTGGGGTTCAGATGTTAAAGTTATTCAAGCTGTTGAATCATATGAAACCACAGTCTGCTCCTGCCTCGGTTTGTTTTTAAATAAAAAATTTCTTCATTGACCTGAGCCAACATTTCTACTTCATCCCAACTCTTCAGAACAGAATGGTGACAGTACAAAAAAACAATAATTGCATCATACAAGCTTACATTCCCAGAAGGGGGCATTCTCATGGTTAAACAGACTTAAATGTGAACTAGGTGGAATGCTGCATGCTAACTTTTTACCATCTCCATATTAGAATTATGCATCAGCACCTCACCGGATTAAAATAAGTGCTTAGACACTGACAGCAATTAATGTAGTTTTATTGAAAGATAAAGTTTAGGCATGCTTGGACAACTTACACAGTGGGACTAAAATTTGAACTTCTAATACATACAGCTATTACTGGAGCAACAAGGTGAAAACTGCCAAATTTCTTTCCGTTTTAGACTCCATTTCATACCAGCAATACAAAAAAATACAAACAGCTGTAATATTTGAAATGACTAGCAAAGGTAGAACTTAATACTACAATTTTTCCTTTCTTCACCCTTCCCTCACCCTCCCCATCCCAATTACTCAATTCAAAATGTGTAATTTCTGGTTACAGGTGCTTAAAGCATTCTAAGAGAATTTTGTTCAACACATTGAGTTTAATTTTCTTTAAAACCAGTACTTTTGAAAACCCTCACTTTCAAAAAAGATTAAATAACTTCTTCACTTTCTTTGCTTTCTCTATTCTTTCTCACTTCCTCCAGGTGTTTGTCCTAAATTATACAAAAGAAAATTAGATCATTATTTAACACATGTACTGACGCAGCAAAGAATAGTTTCTAAACAATCATGTGTAAATATATTAAAACTAGTTTTGAACTGGTGCTGCATAATCACATTAAAGTCAATTAACCACCCAACATTTGTTTACATAAATAAGAATACTTATGAAAAGTAGCCAATTGTCAAGTGGTCTGTGTGGTTAATGTGCTGAATGAAGCATTTTTCTCATTCATAAACTAATTATTGCAGGATAATTGAGGGAGGGCTTTCAGTGCAGACATACTCTTCAACACAGGAAACATTAAAAGCTACCCAGAAGATTTTAATATTTAATTTTCTTTACCCATTGACAGCCAACAAGTTTCAATATGCAACATACTGATAATTACGTCTGACTTAAAGGCTCTTCAAATTATTTAAAATACAAATTCATAGGAATGTCATCATTAACACATTGATCAGTGCTGTTGCTGACAGCATCAACTAAAGATAAATATTGAAAAAGGCTGATGTCATCAGGAAGAAAAATGGAAAGAGTACAAACTGCCTTCAAGTTAAAAGGGAAAAAGAATTAACTAAAGAGGCAGTTATAATGACAAATATTTGAGACTTCAGTGGTGAAGTCCAGTGGTGAACACTACAATGTTTCTTCATCTAAGTTTCCCAAACTAGCCATGAAAAAACCAGGCACTTTCCTATTTGGGCTTGGGAGCTAACAGAAATGGAACTGATACTCAAAAGGAAATCAATTTGAATCCCTTCTATTTCAAGCATTTTGTTCCAAAGCAACATGATGAAATGACTGTAGGGTTTTTCTCAAACCTGCCAATACTCAAGACAATATATATGCTCACTTTCGAAAAATGACTGCCCATCAAAAAAAAGTTGGCTCGTATTTGCATTGTTAATAAGCTAGTGATTTGTATTTGGCAATTTGTAGCAGTGCATTGCTGAAAAGTTTGGCTAAATGTGTACTCTCAAATTAACAAAGAATGTATCTAAGTTTATCAACACAATGACAATCGAATAACATGCATAGGGGGAACTAGCAAGGCCAAAGTTCAGAAACAGTGGAAGGAAACAATGTTCGACATGAGATACACAAGAAGATTGAGCTAAGCTCAAAAATGGTATTTCTGGTTCTCGAGTGCTTCAGTTAGATTGTGATGTTGGAAGTTATTAAGTTTGAATGCAGCAATTATCTTGTTTATATTTCTAAAGCACATCAACTGAGCGACTAAAATTTCCTCCAGCAACTTGCAACCAAGCTTAAAAACTGACAGCTGACATTACAAGCTCATCAATATACCAACATCAGCCTTTTTGTAGAAATGAACTATCTGCAGTCAGCATGAATAGGGACCATTTATCCTTTCAATAACAAACTTCCTGTCCATTCAACATAAAATTTCCAAAAATCATCATTTTGATGGGCATGAGCAGATGTAACCCTACATTACTCAGCTTTATTATTGTTGGTAGATAGGTTAAAACAATTTAAATACATTTCTAATCACCCAATAGGTTTTTATTTTGTTTCTGGTTGAGAAGTAGGCCAAAATCTACACATTAGCACACAAATGAGGAACAAGAGTAGACCACTCAGCCCTTCATGCCTGCTCCACATTAAGCACATGGCCAATCTGAGTTTAACCTCAACTCTACATTCCTACATATCCCTGATAATCTTTCATCTCCTTGGTCATCAAGAATCTATCTGCCTCTCCCTTATTTAAAGATCCACTACCTTTTGAGGAAAGAAATATCAAATCTCATAAGCCTCTGAAGGAAAAAAAAAGTTTCCTCATTGCTGTCTTAAATGAGCAGCGCCTTATTTTGAAATTGACTCCTGGTTCGATTCTCCCACAAGAGGAAACATCCTTTCAACATCCACCCAGTCAAATCCCCTCAGGATCTCACATTTCATTTAAAATCACCCATGACTCTTCAAACTCCAAATAAAACGGGCCTTTCCACATATTTGTTACTCAGAGAGTGATACTTGGCTGCATTTTCCTTTGATTGATTTGTTCCAGTGCCCTTCATCTTTCTGAAAGAAAGATCTTACTTTGTGAAAAATAGTTCTGTTTGAACTCCATGTTTACTGAAAAATAAAACATGCCCCAGCTTCTGAAATCTGCAATGTAAGTAATAGGATCAATTTACAATCCGGTTATCCCAAGAGTAAATGACAACTTTTCTCAAGTTTCTGAATTCTGTATCACCTTAGTTGCCCCATGTTACACCTTCTCAAACCTAATATCTTTCCTCCAGTATGCTGAGCAACACTGTCTATTGTATTACAGAAAATCTGTTCAGAACTTTACTGCAACATTTTACTTCTTCAGAAAGTGTTTTGATATTCTGAATACAGTTTCAAGATCTCCAGAATCATCATTATCTACTTTGGTTGATAAACTACAGATCTGTAAGTAAGAGCACTCGGGTAAGACTTACCTTGTCGACTTACATTGGCATTTTCCAACAGGTTCCCTCAATAACTCAATAGGTAAATGAACCACATGGCATTGGCTCTGACCACAAGGTTCAACATATGCACAATGCTTCTGTTGCCATGGATGCAATGCACTGAAAATGGCAGTTATGGACAGAAACACATTTAGCTTCATTAACCCATCAGAGTTCAGTAAGCTGTTAGCCCTCACTGTCAAGACCAGTCTTGTCCAGTAGATCCACCACCAAACTTCTAAACACAGAAAGTGAATACAGAATGCTCTATAAGGAAGTGTACTTTCAATCAGAGGCCCTTTCTCTGGTTACACTGGGAAAACACAGTCTCTGATTGAAAGAGCCGCAAAATATATGAACGCGAGAAGCATAATTAAGCCAGAGACCTACACACCAGCAGCGGCAAAGGCAGGTCTGCTGGGCAGAAAGATAGCAAGCATGCATGCTGGTATAGGTGGTGAAATTGGCTCAGACCTTCCAGTGTTGGGCAAATTGGTTTCAAGTTGTCAGGCGGTTTGAGGGAAACAGGGTCCATGTTGAGGAGCCAGGTATGGAGAAGACAAGATTCTCTTCTTTCAATGCAGCACCTGAATCCTGAAGGCCTACAAAATGGCAGAGTGGGCCTCCAATTATGTGGGGGAGGGAGTGGGGCTGACTGGACAAGGGCAGAGAGGGTATTTGAGATGATGTGGGAGAAAGCATGAGTAAGGGTGTGTGTGTGTGAGTGTGAGAGACAGGGAAAGAAGAAACCTGTGCGAGTGGGAAAGGGACAGCGTGTGACGCCTAAGACCGATAGTGAGCTGGAGACACATTTAGACCTGCCCTCCTTTTCTTCCATCTCCAAAAACGTGTCAGAATAGAGAGCTGGGAAAAGAGTGCTGAAAGGCGATCAACTGCTGGCTCTCATTTTCATATGAACTCTGCCTAGCTCAGCTCAGAGTGTGTGTGCATCACCAGAGACAAACACGTTTGTGTTAGTTAAACGCAACCGCTTAGCTTGATCCTTGTCCCCACCTGGCCACTGGCAATCAGGACTTGGGACCTATTCTATCTTTCCGTAGCTCTGCTACTTAATTGAAAGGCAAGAGAGGTTTTATTAGTCAATTCTGTTACTTGAGATAGTTTAATAGTCATTTTTAAAATTAATTATCATTTATAAAATTATTGATTTATTGATTTGGAATGCTTTTCTGAAATTCATTTACTGTTGTGACAAACCTCATCTTTCTGAAATTTGTCCTTCAGCCTTCCCACCTGCAACGCATGAGAAGAAGAAAAACAATGTGGCAACTCCATGCAAAAAAGATTTGCCAATCCTGGTCTAGACTTTTGAAAACTAGCAAGTTAGATATCTAACTTGGAGGAATTCTGGCACCTATGGGACTATGCCTTTCCCCAGTCTGTCCTAAAGAGGAGTAAGAGTAACAAAATTGAATAGTAAAAGTTCTAGTGTTATCCCAGGGAAGAAAGTCATTTTGGATTTCACCTCGACTACGTAAAGGGTGTTAAAGTTAATTTGCCTTTTCACGTAGACGCTCGAGCTTAGCAGCTAATTGGGCCTCACGGTTCTCCTTAATAAGTTCCATCTTGGAGATCAGTCTTTCTTCTGCCATTTTGCTGAATTTGGTATTTTCTTCAATAGCTCTCTGAAGCACTTCCTTTACATGCTCTTGTTTCTCAGCCAACTGTTTCAGAACTTCTGCTTCATGTGACTAGGGAAAGAACAGAGAATAATTGTTCAACTGAACATCAATACCACAAGGCTAGTTTGATATATTCAGATATGCAAGTCACATTCTGGTACCAAATATTTTTGCAAAGAAAAATATAGTTTGAACCTTAACAAAAACCATTTGAAAAAAAGATAGTTGTCTGTGGAAGTCTTTTGGCAGAAAAAGATTTTGCCAAGGCAACTAATAATTGTTCCATTACACTATTGTTCCACCTCCAAATGTAATATTAATAAAGGTCAGAATTGTAGGAAATATACAAGTCAGGAAAAAGTTAGGTTAACGTTTTGGGCCGAATTCTTCAAACGTCAAAAAGGATCTCAAAAATAATTACATGGCTTCTTCATTTTAATACCATGCCTTTCTAATACGGATTGTAACAGATTTTCAGTATTTTAACATTTTTTACTTAAAATTACATGAAATGAGAATCTGAGCACATTATACACTGGCCCAGTTGTTAAATGTTAAGAAACAGCCTCACACCCCTTCCACACAGTGCTGCAAGACAAGACATTTTTTTTAAAAATTCTCAAATTTGTTTAATTCTAGCCAGCCCAAACCAAAAAGACAAATTCTCATTTAGTAATTACAAAAGCTGTACACAATCATTTTAGGAAATATTGGTTCAGTTCCTGCAGCCTCAAAATCGCAGCAATCTCCTGCTCAGTACTTTTCAAGGATGATGCAACTGCAAAACCAAGATAAACACTAGATCCTACTATCTCTAAACACTAGATTGCTCCACAAGGTTGGGGTAAGATAGGTTTATTCTCCATTTGACCTTCATTATACATGATGATTGTTATTGCTCTCAAGAAATGTTGTAAACAATATATTGTATTTCTCCAGTTTTAATTTTCGGCATTCAAAATCAGAATGGCAAAGCATGGGAGCATCGCTCAGTATCTAAAGGAAGTAACCATTGCTCAGTACTGACAATCCAGAAGGAACACACCTATCATTTTAGGCAGCACGTGTTAGCTGGTCAAAGGGCCTTTTATCTGATACACTTTGAAGTACCATGTAGTTCATACTATGCTCATATTCCTTTTAAGTACCTTTCGTCTGTTCTCTGCTGCTTCCATTTTTTTTTGAAGATCTTCAAGTGACCGATCTTTCTTGGGAGAAAGAGGAAATTCTGGAATTGTTTCAGCTGTGGGGCTCAGAATGATCTCAAAAGCCTGGCCTGAAGAACGCTTGTCTAGTTCTTTTACTTTAATGTCTGAAATGAGTTATATATTTTTAAAAAATGGCATGGTAGCATTAACCCAAGTCCATTTTGATCAATATAGCTTCTAAATATATTAACTGTGTAGGTCAAATAACAAGGTTGCTGTTAGGGCTTTCTGACATTAAAGTTCATGTAATATTACATGACATAATGCTACAGTAATTAGGGGTTAAATTTTACAACAAAAGAAACTGAATCTCAGGTACTTTTCTTCCCTCAGGTAGATTAACTTTGGCCTTCGGTAAGGTTACATTGCAGATTCATCAGAATGATACCAATCTTAAAAAGGAATAAATGCATAAATATTGCTTGTATTTGCTCAAGTTGAAAAGGCCGAGAAATGATCCAACTGAGGAATTTACCCTATTGAATCCCTTTCCCTTTATAGGTACATGGAAACTTATTTCCTCCTTTAGGAAATCCAAAACCAACAAAAACTGTGTACTCTTATTTTTGGATGCTTCAAACGCTCTTTTGAAATAGTTATTAAATGTATATATTAACCATAATTTGTTACAATGCAAAGAAAATATTGCTTAACATTAAAAGACGAGTATAAAAGGAAGAATCGTTGGGTTCAAAAACCACAGGCATTGGGGTACATGAAAATTTATCTCAGTTCAATTAATCACAGTCTGCCTCATTAAATGCTAACTGGCTTATCTTACTCTGTGCACTTCATTTTGCATTGTTTACTGTCACATTATTCATTGATATGCTCCACAACATAAAAATAAAAGTAGGCACAACATTAAAGCCTTCATTCTTTTGGGTAACAATTTGCATTTATATAGTTCCTGACACCTCAAATATTTCAATGAATATACTAAATTAAGGGACTGATTCAGGCAAATAAAAAGATGAATCTTTTAGAATTGTATTCCTTACTTATATTGCCTCTTCTTGTGCAACATCCCAAAATGTATCACCTCATACTTCTATATAATCAATTTCATCTTCTACATGTCCACCCATTCTAATTATCGATATTATTTTGAAGTATATTGCAAACCAGCTTAGCATTCACAATTTATCCAAGTTTTGTATCATGATAAATTAAAACTGTGACCTACACACCCAAGTCTAGGTAAATAATTTGGCTCAAGAAAAGCAATGGTTTTCAATACTGGCGCTTAGGGAATCCCCTAAATATACTTTCCTCCAGTCTGAAAAATGACCACTCACCACTACTCTACATTTCCCGTCACTCAACCTCCTCTGTATTCATGCTGCCACTGTCCACTTTCTTCAAGGAGCTTCAACTTTTGTGAGAAGCCCGTTATATGGCACTTTATCAAATGCCTTTTAAAATTTAATGCACACTATATTAAACATATTGCTCTCATCAACCTCTGTTACTGCATCAAAAAATTCAAAACAAATTACCTAACCATTACTTTTAAAAATCCATCAATGCCTCCCTTCTCTGGGACTGGAAACTTACTGATCTGGAGTAGGTTCTTTTTAAATATTGTTTAGCTTTGATGCCAATAGGACGATGCAGCCTGTGATCTTGCTTAATGATGTCAGATTCATTTTAATGCCATTTTCCACATAACCCAACTGCTGCCATTTTGAAGTGGCCTTGTCAATTCTGTGACTTACAACGTTTCTGCCTGACCTGCTGACTTGCAGCATCTCCAAATGCCTGACCTACTATTTCACTGAACCTCCTGTTCTCTGACTTTAAATAAGTGTTTCCATTCAAGATCCAACTTTGATCTGATGCTCTGGGATTGTGACAATGCAGGTTCCAAAGTTGCAGAGCTGCTAAACTGGAACTGTTAGAATAATTTTTTTCTTTGTAAAATGACTGACATTTTTGCCCATGCATTTCACATGTAGAGTAACTCGAGAGTAGTTTGGATGCAGGAAAGGGAAGGCTTTTAATTGTAAAAGTTAGTTCATTCAACAACATAGGACTCCAGCATTGTAAAGTATTTCAACCTACTGGGTATAATATTTTATTGTTTGTTATTGTTAAAGGACAGCCTACAGAACCCAAATACAGTTTTAACATTGGTTCCCAAAAGAATCAAAAGGAAGATCTTGGGACAACAAGGTGCAGAGCTGGATGAACACAGCAGGCCAAGCAGCATCATTGGAGCAGGAAGGCTGACGTTTCGGGCCTAGACCCTTCTTCA